GGCTATTTTCTTAAAGGCGTTGTGCACAACCTAATAGGGTAGTTGTCAACAACCCCCGTAAATTGCTATAATTCCAGGACACACCCATGGGTTTTCTAAAATTTCATCCATTTCATATTACACCTGTGGTAAGGATCGTTAGCTTTAGATTTAGAAAGTGATAATAATCCTTAAATCTGCATTTGCCTCAAATAAACAAGTCAGCATATGTCTCTGTCACTCATCTTCTTCGTCCTCATTTTTTCTGTGTTTCACACACAAAAAAAAAAAAAAAGAAATAGGTCCAACAATCCCCACCAAATTCATCACCCCATTAATAATCTCCTGTCACCTCCACCCTCACAAAGCAAACTAAAAAATCAATACATTCAAACATTCAGTCAACCAATTTTCAGAAAAAAAAACCTATGTTGCAGATATTGGGTTTTGTAAACTTCAATCTCATGATGGAGATGGTGAAGCATGAGGTCGTCCATGTTGCAATCTCCCTCTTCCTTAAATTTGGGTATTCCATGTCTCGGTCAACACCTAAGCCAAAAACTATCACCACCTCCTCCAACAACTACCACTTTCTATCTCCCACTAATAACTACCAGCCAACACCGCAGCCAACAACTAGCCCACCATCACCATCACCATTACCATAACGGATACAGACACGGTTGTCGTATCTGATATGATACAGACATGGGAAACGGTAAAATTTCAAAATATAGGACAAAGGTAGGGCAAGGATACGACTAATTAAAATAATTATATATATTTTTATATATGTAATAACAACATTAATAGTAACAAACAAGACAACACAAATATTGATTGTTTGTTTACAATTAAAATAGATCAAAAATTAAAAAATTACACATCCACCATTTCCTGTAATATAGTTGCATCAATTAGCATTCATAGTCCACAAGTTTGTTAACAAAAGAACACAAAAACAAAATGAATCTTATATCCTTTCTCAATTCACTTTCAAGGGCTCATCATACTCATTACCATTTCCTTCATCAGTAAATAGTATGGCCTCCAAATATAGTTCATGAAGGGAAAGATCTGCAATCTCAAGCATCTCACTGCCCTCCTCTATGGAATTAAATGCATCTTCTGTAATATCCTACATCTTAGTATTGCCTCCATCATATTGAGGAGATTTCCTTGATAAAAGTTGAAGATTGGAGTGCACAAATATCAATTCTTTGGCTCTATTTGGTGTGATTTTGTTCCTCTTCAAAGAGTGTATAAAAGAACAAGTGTTCCAATTCCTCGCACAACATGTCGAGGAACAAGGTTGCTCAAGTAACCTCAAAGCCAAGTTTTGGAGCAAGGGTGCCATAGAGCCATAGATAACCTACCAATAAGTCGGCTCCATGATTCCTCTATCCCTCATGGAATCATAACTTGCAAATTCTTTAAAGCACACTGAAAATTTATCACACACCTCTTTGGTTTTCATTCACTCCTCCAAATTAGAAAAGTATCTTTGAAAACACTTTTCACTTTCATTTGAAATCTCTTATTTGTGTGGAGAAACACAATTAGAAGTCATAGAAAGCCATTCCATGCCGTAATACCTAAAAGATAAAGTAAATAAAATGATAATCATTTGACATCTAGAAAGTTAAATTAGAATCTTGAGGTTTAGAGCTTACAAATTACCTTGGATTCAAGGAATGTGCCAAGCAATGGAGCGGTGTGTTGCATTTTCCCTATCTATCCATTAATATTCCATAAATCACCGAATAAAATGTTGATTCCTTGTCTTCCAGCTTTCTTTTATGACAATAGATAACGACCTTCACTTGCTTAATCAGACTCCCACATATCATAAACTAAGTGTTAGCAAGGCATATCTGTATTAACCTTCCTACATTTCATTAATGGGTTCCGTGAAGGAAGTATATAATCAATTTTGTCCCACCACAAATCATTTGATACTTTTTTCTTTACAAAGGTTGCTTTTCCAGCATTATATTCTTTGTAAGAAGACCACCAATAACTAATAATCATGTTATGGACACCACGCTCTAGAACTTTAAATCTTTTAAGCATCACAATGGTTGAAGCAAAACGTGTCTTCGCAATTGAGAGAATCTTCAAATTCCCATGATCATTAAACATGGCCAATTTTATGGTGTGGTTCATAATAAATTTTTAATGCCCACCAATGATCAAAATTTCGTTTCAAATTAACATGATCATTAAACATGGTCAATCTTATGGTGTGGTTCATAATAAAATTTTTAATGCCCACCAATGATTAAAATTTAGTTTTTGTGTATTGTTTCGATCACTTAAGAAATGTAAAAGTTTCGATGTGTTTCGGAAACGTTTCGGAAATATAATAAAAAAAGTAAAAAATTTAAAAATTATTTTTTTAAAACATTGATTTAAATATATCAAAGTATCTTGAAATACCTTGAAAAATTCCGAAACAAGTGTGCAAATGCATTGAAATATTATAATACATCTTAAAACATTATGAAATATCTCGAAATATTAGAATTTCGATTCTATCACTGATTCATTTCGGTCTCATTGGAAACATAAATGTTTTGGACGCTTCGACTGTTTCGAAACAGTATTTTAATCCTTGATGTCCACACAATCCCCGACAATAAATGAGATCCTATTACACTCTTTGTAAGCAAGTTCATTGTTTTTTGGTGCACAAATATTTTTCAAACCAAGATTAAGTGTGCAGCACAAAAGGTATCCAAAAGATGTGTTTATAACGATCGTCAACAAGCACTCCCACACTACTATAAATGGGTGTATTATAAGTGATCACTTTGGCCATATTTTGAGGTCCAACCGCATGAATGATCTCTTGAAGCAAGTTGGCTATGATATATTTGTTCTTATATTCACCTTCACAATTAATTGTTTTCAAAAACAAAGGGCCACTTTCACACACAGCCATGGAATTTATGATTTGTCTCTTTGAGCATTTGACCAACTTTAGAAATAATATTTACACCTTTTTCTTTCTACGATTGCTTAGTTGACTCTAACAACCTATTGAGGCTTGTTCTCTTTTTGAAGAAGTGAAGTCCTCAACATATTATAACCAGGAGGGATATAGCCACTAATCATATAAGTAGTTACAAAAGTATAGGAGCTATAATAGTGTGGATTCCTTGTAAAGATGGTGATAAAGGTATCTCCTTGTTGTCTAAGCAGATTTGATGGAGAGGTTCGAGTTTGATCAGATCCTTTGGTTGTCGAAGATGTGGTGGAGACTCTCCCTCTTCTTCTCTCTCTCTCTCAGTTGCGAATATGGATTGGTGGGAGCAATCAATGCCTTTGTTCCTCCCCCTTTTTTTCTTTTTCTAGACCTGAAAACGACATCATTTTACCTTGTTTCTTCTTTTTCTATTTTCGTTTCGGTCCTCAAATTTGGAACCCTGCCGTATCCCCATTTATCTGGTTGCGAAAAAGGCTTCTCACCCGTGTAGGACACTTTTGGAATTATCGGACACGTGTCCGACATTGCCACGACGAACTCCCTTCCCTCAAGTATTCGTGCTAGGGGTGCAACTTGGGCGGATTGAGCTGGTTGGACAGTCAACTCTAGCCTAACCCTAGGTATATAATTTTCAATCCTAACCCTACATCGGGTTGTGAAACTCAACCCGAATATTGCCCGAGTTTAATTCTGGCGAGCTCGGGTTTAATTGGGGTTAATGATTTTGGACTGATTTTGGATTTTTTTACGGGTTGAATTCGGGTAGAGCCCAAAATATGTTTGTTGTTCTAAACCTAATACATATATTACATAATATTCACCTAAATTAACAACCAATAACTTCAACCAAGTTTTTAACAGTGTTAATGCTAGAACAAAAATGAAAATGAACGAGAGAGATAGAAAATGATAGAACAAAAATGAAAAACCAGTGCTAATGCTTTATAACTGTGACACTTTGCAATTTACTGTTGAAACTATTGCTTTAATTGACAGTGGTGCAGATATGAACTGCATAAAGGTAGGATTAATTCCGACTAAATATTACATATATATATATATATAATTTTTTTTTTAATTTGTTGGGTTTGGGTTGAACTTTAGGCCTTAACCCGAGCCCAACCCAAATTGAATTCGGGTTGGGATTTTTTGACTCAAGTCCAACCCAAGTATTAAAAACCCTTGCCAAAGCTCTAATTTTTTCCGGTTGGCTTCGGATTGAAATCGGGTTGTCCAACCCAAGTTGCATCCCTAATCTGTGCTTTCTAGATCCACCACCAATTGGAGGAACAATCACTAGCAACCTAGGTACTAAATGTCCCCACCTACCAAACTGTGGCCAATTGTGCACAATACGTATCACCCTGTAAGCGAATTTTGAGAGATATCAAGAATTGAAAGGTACAACAACTAACCCAAACTTGGGAGGACTTGTCCAAGGAAGATAAAAAAAGAAATTACACCGAAAATTGAACGAGATTGAAGTTCAAGCACTAATGATTGAATTGGTTTTGTTCTGGTGGTTAAAACTATAGTTTTAACTTAACTAGGATTATATAAAACATCATTTTCTATTGTAGAAAAAAACTGATAGTCCTGTAAGTGTATCATCAAAAATCCCCGAGGACGTCTTTGTAAGTGGGATAATTTATAAGTATGTCAGTGATGGTTATCCTTTTTATATTTGGAGGAATAGACAATTACAACATATTGACTTCATCTTCTTCTCCCTCCAATTCGCATTTGCACCCCAACTTCCATGATCCAAACCTTTTTAGTTTCTTTCAGCTAAGCCACCATCATTTCAAATGTGCCACCACCTTGGAGCCATGAATACCCAGCCATGAAAACCATTCGTGACCAACATCGAAAATCAGCACCGAGACGTTACAACAACCATAACCAACACCCAGTTGTGGTCCTAATTCAGAGATGGCTCCAAAAGAAGAATGTATAACACGTATCCTAAACATAATTGGTCACGTATCCCCAACATATCTAAAGTTTGATAATATTTTCAAACTATTTAAAGATGTATCCAATCGTATGCAAGGTGTATATGCATTTGACATTGGATATGGGTATTCCCGTCTTGGTGAAGTATCTGTGCTTCATGGTTCATAATGGTAGAAACCATAATGGACCATTTAATTGTACTGAATTTTTACGCTTTACGTTAGTCTTATTATTGGGAACTAGTGCATTATTTTAGAAATCGTTTTGCAAATTTGCCCCGTTGAGAAGGTGATGGTAGATTTCTTGTAGCCTGGAGATGTTTTTTATTCTTTGGTCATGTTTTGAATTGTTAGTATCAGGCAAAACCTCTTGTGTGGCTATGCTGCATTGACTTTTTTTCATAATTTGGGAGGGATACAAAAGGGGGTTTCTCAGCATCTAGCCATTTGGGGGATAGAAGCAGGCTTTCTGGTTCACTTTGTACAGATGCATCATCTTTTAGCAATAATGGTTTTTTTTTTTCCCCTCTTTCCCCACCTAATATTTGATAAGAAGAACAAACAATAGATTTGAGACATGGAGACGACATGAAACCACATGACCATCCCTGCTGTCATGGAAAATCCTAAAAAGTAGAATGCTGACATTTTCACAGAGGACACAATCACAAATGCATGTATAATGCTTGACTTAGAACGATAATGTTTACTTTTTGACCATAGCTTCCATGAGAAAGTCATATTGTAACATCAACTTTGTATTAAGGATATGTTATTGAGTGTGCGAGAATCAGTTGTGAAGAATAACATTGCCATGACTAAGAGGTGTCAGACCTATCCCAAGTAGCGTCCTTTTCCAACAGCAGCACATGGCCTTTTTGCTGTGTCAGTGCTTCTTAATTCTCACAAATGTATCAAGAGTCATGAATGGGGTCGGTTCTTCTCTCATCACTCTATTCCAATTTTTTCCTCTTCTTCCTTGGCATGCGATTCTTATCCTCCTATTCTTCCTTGACATTAGTTATTAGCCTTCGAATTGCTTTAAGATTTTTCGAATTTACGTGATGGTTCTGTTTGCCTCTGGATTTCTGTTCTGGTACAGTTGGGTGACATGTCTATCTATACTGCTGAACAATAAGAATATGTATGCTTTTTCTGGGCTGGATGGTGGTTTTTCTGGGTGGGGGATTTTTCTTTCGCTGGGTTTTAGGTATGCGTGTAGTGCTTGTCTTGAAAACTTACTGGAGTCGTACAAGGGCAACATGGTCAAGAAAAACTGTGTCATATATGCAGAGTTACTGAAAATATTGCTTGAATTTGTTGCTTGACTCCTTTTTCTCTCTACTTTACATAGTTTCTACGTCAGTTAATATTTTTTTTCTTCATTTGGCTTCACTTCATTATGCATAATAATAGGATTAAAATCAGGGATGCCCAGCCCCCATGATCTTTGCCCACTAAACCACCCTTTTTTAGCAATCTAGTGCTCACATACACTATTTTTAAATGGAAAATCTAGCAAAATTGAAGCCACTTAAGTGGTTTTGTGAAAAACCTATAGTTTAGGGGGGAGGTGAAATTTGGGGCTTGTTCATGGGTCTGTTTTTAACCCTAATAATTAAGCTTTACATACACTTCTGATGAGCTGAGTTCATATTTAATACGTATCAGAATGAATGTTTCTCATGTATTCTTTAGTCATTTTGATATTTTCATTGTATGAATTTTTGGTTATTTTTAAGAATATATGAATCTGGTAGCTGATCATCTGAATAATATCTGGGCAGTGGTTGTGGTTGTGTTGGGGATAGATCTTCTGACAATAGTCTCTCTCTGATGATCTGCTCTTAGTTTTATATGTACAAATTCTTTCTTAACAAAAAATAGAATGTTTGATCGAGCGATGTACCAGCTTAATAATTAGTGAGAGATGTGCACTAGTGTCATTAGTGTTGAATCTTTTAGCTGACAATCTTGACAACTAGCCTGTAGTTTTGTTGGGGGTTATATTTGCCTCTGAGTCTCTGACATTAGTCTCTTAGATATTCTGCTCGAGTCTTGGAAACTGCTATATAAGAATGTTTGTTGAAGCTGAGGATTCAGCTTAGTTATCATTGCCCCTATCCATTCTGCAAAACAAACTCTATTTTTTTACGATTGTTACAGAAGTTATTACATGGCCTGGATATGGGAACATCACTAAGTTTGATTTTGTAATTTGGGGGGTATGAATGCAATTATGTGAAATATTTGCTTAATCGAATATTAACATCAATTTTTTAAACAAGTTTTTTGCTTTAGTATTTTTCTTCTGCATTGCAGGTTCCAAATCCTACTATGAATGAAGTATCTTGCTATCTAACATTTATAGATGCACCACTTGATCTCATTTGCTACCATACTTTTAATACTGAGGGATTTGGTTTTTATTTGTATGCAGTACTTCTGGGTGTCCGTTTGGTGAAGGATGCCACTTCTTGCATTATGTTCCTGGTGGCATTAAAGCTGTGACTCAGATGCTTGGCAACCACCCTGCTCTTCCAGCAGCTAGAAATCCAGGAATCCCACCATCCTTCCCAGAAGGTTCATCTCCTCAGGCTGTGAAAACACGTCTGTGCAACAAATACAACACAGCTGAAGGGTGTAAGTTTGGTGATAAATGCCGTTTTGCCCATGGTGAGTGGGAGCTTGGCAGGCCAACAGGTCCATCCTATGAAGATCCTCGTGCAATGGGACCAACACCTGGCAGGTTTGGTGGGCATATGGAGCCAACACCACCTGGCCTTGCAGCTGCATCTAGTTTTGGGGCCTCAGCCACAGCTAAGATCAGCGTTGATGCTTCTCTAGCTGGAGCCATAATCGGAAAAAGTGGTGTGAACTCGAAGCAAATTTGTCGGGTGACAGGAGCCAAGCTTTCCATAAGAGAGCACGAGTCAGATCCTAACCTGAGGAATATTGAGCTTGAAGGTACATTTGACCAGATTAAACAAGCCAGTCAGATGGTTCGTGAGCTTATTGTGAACATTGGTTCTGCTTCTGGACCTCCTATGAAGAACCCTGTCATGCCAGGTTCTACTCCTGCAAGCAACTTCAAGACAAAATTGTGTGAGAACTTTGCAAAAGGGTCATGTACGTTTGGGGACAGGTGCCATTTTGCACATGGAGCTGAAGAATTGCGCAAACCAGGGATGTGAACTCTTTTCTCTCCACCTCTTTTGTTTCTCCCCACTTCCTACATGCCTTTTTTATGCCCTGTAGTTTGACGTTTTGGCCCTTGGAAACATGGATAGACAGATTGCAGTTTCTTGAGTTTTTCAGGTTTTGGTATTTCCGGATTCTAATGATATTAGGTTTTTATGGTTCTTTATTGGGCTGTAGTTCAATTGTGATGTTAAAGTCATCTTGAGCTTTTTTGCTTGCTGCTGTTTCATTAAAGGCTGCGCCCGTGGGGTTTGATTCGATTTTGTTTCATGTTTAGACTCGCTGATGCATTTATTCATGGTGATTATGCTGATAGTCTAAAAGGAAGATGGTTTATAATTGACTAGGAGGACACAGCTGTTAGCGGAACAACTAAATTATTGTTTTGCAACAGACATCTTTCATCGCGATGTTTAGATCCTCTATTCTCCAATGTCTTATCCCGCAAACTCTAATTTACTTTATCCTATTTTATCTCCCTACATTGGAAGTATTCCATGAATTTACAGGAATCTTTTGTCATAAGATATATTGTTGTTCCAATGGCCCCGAAGATTGTCCATGTACCTTCCAGGTTCCTTTGCCAACCAAGGATGGTTTCTCTCTCTGAACTCCTCACCCAGGAACACTGGCTCTATTTGGTTTACGTCTTAAAAAATATTATTCGAAAATTATTTTTTCGAAGAGTTTTAAAGAACTATTTTTAGTATTTTTGTGTCGCAGAATCTGTTTAGTTATATGATTTTAAAAATAATTCTATAAAATAAAAAATATAAAAACTTGTTTGGACAATAATTCAAAAAGTAATAAAAATAGAAATGTGGTGGTGGTGGTAGAAGTATGGTAGTGACAATGTTTTCTAAATTTTGGAAATGTGGTTTTCAAAAATACACAAAATAAATAGTTCTAATTTATTTTTTAAATCTATCCAGTTTTTGTTCTCATTTTCAAAAAATAAAAACCAAAAAAATTGACCAAAACAATTTTTCTTTTAGAAATTGTTTTTAGAAACAAAAAATAGTAAATAATTTATGAGATACAAATCAAACATGATTTGTGCATCGCTTTAAACTCTTCACATGTGAATCCTCAGTATCTGTCTTGCCCTAAACTCCTCAAGACAACCTAAGCACTGAATTGGGTATAAATCTCTCCCAAAACTACTCACGACCACCTCTTGAAATAGTTACTCACCTTTAGCCTTGGCCTTGGCCTAATTACTCGAGTTAGGCATGCGCTTGATTTTATTATTTTTCGTCCGCGAAATTGAGTCATTTAAAGACTTCTTCAATCGCTTGTTAAATAACATTCCATTGAAGTTGGAATAAGTAAAAATTGCAATACTGGCCTTCAGCAATAACAATTCCAATCTGGACAACAAATATTTTCATTAATTTTAGCAGATTTTTCCTTTATGAAGGGTAAATAATTGTAATTGTGAGGATGGGTACAGGGCCCGTGTTTGTGATTCTGAGTGGGCATTTGCTCTTCGAAAGTTTATTTGTAAACACGTTTTTGGTAGGGTCGGTACGGTACATAGATCATCAATTTTAGCCATTGATTTTGAATTGGGTGATTTACAACAGTTGATTAAAAAATAATAAAGTTTACAATAAAAGTTGTACATGTGACGTGTTTTTGTTGGCTTAAAAATAGGGGTATAATATCGAAAAGTGATTTTCGGTATCATAATGAGACTTTTTTTGCAGGATACTTTATATGAAATGGACAATCTAAAAACAATTGTAGGACTTCTTTAAGAATAGAGAGAATACTTTGCGATTTGAAAATGAGATTATTGTGGATTGCTCATGTGGATAATAAATACAAAAGCCATAACACTACAAGTAAAAGGATAAACACCAATTACACCACTTGTACACTGACATGGTTAATCATATGGTCATTTTTTGATTTCTTAAAAATATATTGACACACGTCAGGTTTTCTTTTTACAGTTTTAATCTCATCCCTCTATTGTTTTTGCAGCCTCTAACACAAACTGCACTCGCTCACCTGGATGAGAGCACACTGACTTACCAAACACATGCAGTCATTGACTGGTGCAATCGCTCTGCTTAGAAGCTTATATTGTTCATTTGAGAAGAACATATTACAGTGAGCCTTGGTATGGCAGTAACTTTATTCCAACATGACTTTGGCGTCAAGGATTCGAGTTGAAAAAATAATCTTTGGGCATGAGGGGTAACATCACATACATTTGACTCTCTCCATCTCAGCAGCAGCCAGAAACTCGTGCACAGATCCACCATTTAATAATAATCCATTATATGATCCATGCCAGCATAGGAACAACAAAGGAGAAAGAGGTGAAACGAAAATATTTACACGTCAGGGACCACAGTGATATAATGTGTCAAATTGGCAATGGAGAAGCATTTGCATATGTTTTTTTCTTGATGCAATGTTTTGGATTCACATGCGCGCACACACACACACATACAAATGTCGTGTCATGTATGAGAATTACCCACATGATATACTAAAATGATAACCACGTATGATATATGCATCTTCTTTGAGTTTCTTATAAGTTTTTTTTGGCTTTTTCGAGAGTTTTGGAGGCTAGATTTGATTTGAGCCTTTTTATGTATTCTCTCCCAAATGATGCTTGCTCCCAAATTATTATTACCTGTTTTTAGAGTGGATTTTGAATAGAATTAGTGTAGCAGTAAAAGTTGTTTATAAGTGTTTGGTAATCGAAACCCTTGCAGATCAATAAGTTCTTTTGTTAGCCCTTATAGGTTACACACTTGTCGACTGAATTGGGTTGGGTTGGGTTGGGTCCAGCTGCATGTAGGTAGCCCAACACATGGTCATGGGTCCACAACCCAATTGTTAATTTTTTTTATGTTCCTTCATAGATTTCTTTTTAAGAAAAGAAATAAAGGCCAATGAAAAAACAACCCCATGACTATGCTAGCAAAAGGAAGAGATCCCTTCTTCTCATCCACGACCTCTTTCTTCATCTCCCAAAAAATCAACGCGGGGAAGGTAATCATGGTTTCAAGTCGTGGTATCGATCATCAACTCAGAGGGCACTGATACACATTAATCGCGGCGTCACGGCATGGTACTAGTCGATACACTTAAATTGCCAGATAAAAGTTCCAAAAAATTATGAAAAAATGTGTAAAATGTAGACAACAAAATCCATGCATTATATGCCTAAAACACATTAGAACACATTAAAAATTATGAAAATAGATTATAAAGGCGTTACCAAAAATAATAATTATATATGCTACACCAATAAAAAATAGTCATCATCAACCCCTTATCGTTTAAAAATAAGCACATAACCCTCGTGTATTTTAGGACAAAATAGAATAATTAACACCGCTAACAGAGATAAGAAAAATGACATTCCTATCCCTCAGTGTCTTTCACCCTATCTTCCTATTCTCTTCATTTAAACGACAAAATAAACACCGTCATTGCCACTCCATTGCCCATTTCCAACATTCTACCATTGCCACCACAACCTAATCACTCTCATTGTTCATTAACATCACCCCCACTGTCCATTAACACCACCCCACTATGCACAAACAATACAAACAAATTGATTAAATTCAAAAAAGAATATCATACTTAACCTATTTTTGAAAGCAAGTATTATGAGGCACTTCTTTATGGGATGTCCCGAGATCTCACAAATACTGCAAATCTCCTCTTAAGGAATAGCCTGTACCTCATTCACCTTCCTAAACTCCCTGGCCTTGACCTTTCTAGACAGTGTGGCAATTGTAACCCCTAGGTCATCATTCTCCCTCAACTAGTATTTACCACCACCTGATGAAGCACTTGCAGTTTTAGTTTTAGAAGAATTAGGGGATGAAGTATCCCAAGATTGTGCTCTTTTAGCCAAATGATCAAAATAATCACTTCATTAGGTTCTTTAGCCATGAACTTACAATTGCACATCATCTCAATAAATTGGTGCATTCGGGGATGTATATACTTTCATAGGAAAAACTTATAACACGCCAACTTGCATAGCCATGATGTGGGAAAGATGCAAGATGGTCTTTAAACCTATCCCAGTATTGATAAAAAATTTAGATTCCTTTTGTGAGAAATTCATATTTTGACGTTTCAAAGAGTTCGTGCGGTATGTGGGAAAAAGATTTTTCAAAAATTCATTTTGCATCTATTCCCAAGTGCCTATAGGTTTAGGTCTAAGAGAATCCAACCAAGTTTTAGCCTTATCCTTCAATGAGAAGGATAAAAGCTTTAACCTAACTGTATTCTGAGTCATGGTTTGGTCATGAAAAGTAGAACAAATCTCTTTAGAGTCATGAATATGGAGGTAAGGATTTTCAAAGTCCATGCCATGAAATTTTGGAAGTAATACAATCATCCCAAGTTTAAAAATAAATTTTGTAGCTTTCAGAGGAAAAATTATGCATGAAGGTGCAGTGTGTTGTGCATGTTGTAAATATTCATACAAAGTTCTACTCTGGTTAACATTTTAGTTGTCAACATCATTCTCATCATGATTACTCCTTCCATCTTCAAGATGATTTGAATTAAAAGGAGTAGGAGGATCCATAGCCATCATGTGATGTGTGTGAGATGGTTCAACAGAATCAAATAAAATACCAAATAGTTTGTCTAAATCCTCCCTAATTAAACATTCACTTGAACCACGATGCTAAGAATTCATACAAAGAAAAGAAAAAATAAAGGTAGAAAATAATAAGTTAAATGANTAGATCCTCTATTCTCCAATGTCTTATCCCGCAAACTCTAATTTACTTTATCCTATTTTATCTCCCTACATTGGAAGTATTCCATGAATTTACAGGAATCTTTTGTCATAAGATATATTGTTGTTCCAATGGCCCCGAAGATTGTCCATGTACCTTCCAGGTTCCTTTGCCAACCAAGGATGGTTTCTCTCTCTGAACTCCTCACCCAGGAACACTGGCTCTATTTGGTTTACGTCTTAAAAAATATTATTCGAAAA